AAATGTGAAATTAAAACCGCCAGTAGGTGACAGCAAGTGACTGTTAATCAGTAAGTAATTGAAATTCAACCGATTCATTCAAATAACTGATTCATTCAGGAACAAAGCATTTGACTGTGTTAATGAGTGAATCACTGAATCATTTATTCAAACGATTCGTTCAAAAATCTGATTCGTTCAATAAGTAAACACCGTCCATTGCTCAGAGACGCAAAACAGTGCTGTGATCTTTGTTTGGAACTATTTTCGTTGGTAAAATTGAGCAAAAACAAGCAATATTATGTCTAAAATGTAAGTCACTTATTGCTTTACTGAACTTGTATAAAATTATTATTAAATGTGTTCATGCTGATATCTGCTGAAAAAAGGTACTCTTTGTGTGATATAGATTAAGTTAACTATATTCAATTATATAAATATAAAAAGCATACAGAAGCATTTTTTGCCGTCTACAATTTAGAATGCCTGGAATTTTGAGTTTTAATAGACATCAACGTGCGTGCACTCTGTGTGTGATTCGGTGATATAGTCTAATTGATAATGTCAGATCGCACATCATTACAACAACACTTACCATATTAGCGCAGACGATGCTGTATTGCACACCCCAGACTCGACTTGAGTGGAAAATAAATCATCCGCGGTTGTGGGCGCACTTTTTTGCACATGAGCAAAGGTGTTTTTAGGAGATTAATTTGCAAACGCCAGACCACTGATTCGTCAAACCTGCTTTCTGCAGTCCGTGTTCTTCTGACTTCTGACTATTTTGTAGTAAGTAACGATTATGCTTCGGGAAAATGTGCAGGGGTGACACTGGAGTAGCCAATAAATGTACAAGACATTCAATTCAATTCAAGTTTTTTTGTATGCTTTTCACGATACAAATCGTTGCAAAGCAGCTTTAAGTTTCTGCAATATATTTAGTAGTAGCTTATCAGTGGTGACTATGTCAAATTGATGTACATATGCCAGAAATGTATGGTAAAATTCAGTTAATGACGTAATCAAACAGACGATGAACACTATTAACAGCAATGATTATATGATGCAATCAAACTTGTAGCAAAATGTGGTTGTTTATGTTGTTTCAGGGTTGGCATCAACTGAGGTCCTCTGAGGGTTTTGCGTCATCTCTTCTCAGGAATCTGCATCTGAAATAGCATTTAAACACAGTTTAATGTATCTCAGAGGGGACATGGATGCATTTAAACTGCAGTTACAGATGCATGAATGGCCTAATGGCCTAATGTAAAAGGGCCTAGTGTTTTGTTTTTAACAAAACGTTGAATACTGATATTTGAAATCATTTAAAACATGAAAAAAATAGTCGAAATGTGAAATTAAAACCGCCAGTAGGTGACAGCAAGTGACTGTTAATCAGTAAGTAATTGAAATTCAACCGATTCATTCAAATAACTGATTCATTCAGGAACAAAGCATTTGACTGTGTTAATGAGTGAATCACTGAATCATTTATTCAAACGATTCGTTCAAAAATCTGATTCGTTCAATAAGTAAACACCGTCCATTGCTCAGAGACGCAAAACAGTGCTGTGATCTTTGTTTGGAACTATTTTCGTTGGTAAAATTGAGCAAAAACAAGCAATATTATGTCTAAAATGTAAGTCACTTATTGCTTTACTGAACTTGTATAAAATTATTATTAAATGTGTTCATGCTGATATCTGCTGAAAAAAGGTACTCTTTGTGTGATATAGATTAAGTTAACTATATTCAATTATATAAATATAAAAAGCATACAGAAGCATTTTTTGCCGTCTACAATTTAGAATGCCTGGAATTTTGAGTTTTAATAGACATCAACGTGCGTGCACTCTGTGTGTGATTCGGTGATATAGTCTAATTGATAATGTCAGATCGCACATCATTACAACAACACTTACCATATTAGCGCAGACGATGCTGTATTGCACACCCCAGACTCGACTTGAGTGGAAAATAAATCATCCGCGGTTGTGGGCGCACTTTTTTGCACATGAGCAAAGGTGTTTTTAGGAGATTAATTTGCAAACGCCAGACCACTGATTCGTCAAACCTGCTTTCTGCAGTCCGTGTTCTTCTGACTTCTGACTATTTTGTAGTAAGTAACGATTATGCTTCGGGAAAATGTGCAGGGGTGACACTGGAGTAGCCAATAAATGTACAAGACATTCAATTCAATTCAAGTTTTTTTGTATGCTTTTCACGATACAAATCGTTGCAAAGCAGCTTTAAGTTTCTGCAATATATTTAGTAGTAGCTTATCAGTGGTGACTATGTCAAATTGATGTACATATGCCAGAAATGTATGGTAAAATTCAGTTAATGACGTAATCAAACAGACGATGAACACTATTAACAGCAATGATTATATGATGCAATCAAACTTGTAGCAAAATGTGGTTGTTTATGTTGTTTCAGGGTTGGCATCAACTGAGGTCCTCTGAGGGTTTTGCGTCATCTCTTCTCAGGTGTTCGGTCATCTCAGGTCTTTGTAAGGGCTGGATCCAGACTGAAGCTTGTGTAATTCCTAGTTACCATGGGATGTCAACCCCGTGGCAGATACAGAGAAACAAATAGAGACAACCCAAGCTAAGGAATAATAATGTGCATTTGATCAGATGCAACTGCAGTACAAGATTATGAGATGCATTATTTGAATGCTTGGCCAAAGAGATATGTCTTTAATCTAGATTTAAACAAAGTGAGTGTGTCTGAACCCTGAACGTTATCAGGAAGGCTATTCCAGAGTTTGGGAGCCAAATGCGAACAAACTCTACCTCCTTTAGTGGACTTTACAGGTGCATCTCAATAGATTAGAATGTCATGGAAAAGTTCATTTATTTCAGTAATCCAACTCAAATTGTGAAACTCGTGTATTAAATAAATTCAATGCACACAGACTGAAGTAGTTTAAGTCTTTGGTTCTTTTAATTGTGACTGAATTTATTTAATACACGAGTTTAACAATTTTAGTTGAATTACTGAAATAAATGAACTTTTCCACGACATTCTAATTTATTGAGATGCACCTGTACTATTCTAGGTACTACCAAAAGTCCAGATTTTTGCGAGCTTAGGGAGCGTGATGGATTGTAGCGTGGTAGAAGACTAGTTAGGTACGCAGGAGCTAAACCATTAAAGGCCTTGTAGGTAAGTAATAATATTTTGTAACTGATACAGAACATAATGGTATCCAGTGCAGAGACTGTAAAATTGGGGTAATATGATTTTCTTGACCTGGTAAGGACTCTAGCCGCTGCATTTTGGACTACCTGTAGCTTGTTTATTGAAGATGCAGGACAACCACCTAGCAGTGCATTACAATAGTCCAGTCTTGAGGTCATGAATGCATGAAATCTAGCATAGCGTTAGTTCTGGCAGGTCACGTTAGTCAAGCTCGCATCAGCTGACTCTCAGCTGATCCTCATCAACCTATGGGAATACGACACCTATCTAAGCATTCATATATAAGGTCCCTCAGTATTATCAGCAGTTTTCGCATTGCGCAATAGCTAATTACCCTCCTCCATCCCCAACTTTTCAGTCAGGATTCAGCCTTCTGATTCTCCTTTGAATCAGACTAGTTCTAAAATGTGGGGAGGGGGAGGGGGAGGGGTTATCGCTGCTCTCCCTGCTCTCATCCTCTCATCCATGGTAGGCTGCATGGATGCGCAGGGAAATCATGCCCAGAACAGAACCATACCGCCAATCCAGACTGTATGCTAATTGTCAATCATCTTTGACGATAGTGGTCCTGACAGAACTAGCTTTTCTGCATCAGAAACAAGTAGCATGTTTCGTAACTTGGCTATGTTTCTAAGATGGAAGAATGCTGTTTTTGTAACATGGGAAATATGATTTTCAAAAGACAAGTTGCTATCTAATATAACACCCAGGTTTTTGACTGTAGAGGAAGTAACATTACATCCGTCTAATTGCAAATTGTAATGCAGTAGCCTGTCACTCATGCTGCTACAACCATCTCACATATTTACATCACACACAAGCACACATTATTCATGCAGGGAATCAGCAATGTAGTCCGAACTGATTATTTATCATGATGTTACCCACAGACATATGTGTACAAACACCCCATCTCTGAATTAAAATTATGATTCCCTCTGACACACGAAAACTTCAGCCAGACTTTGATTAGATAAATGTCAGAAAATATAAGCAATTTCATTAAAGTTCAGAATTATATATTTTTTCATAGTTTATTTTAACTTTAATTTTTTTATATTTTTAAAAGCTTTTTCATTATTCTAATTTTTATTTTAGTATCATTATAGGGATAGTTTATTCAAAAATCCAAAGTTAGTAATCATTTGCTTACTCTCATGTTGTTTCATATTACTTTCTTCCATTTTTTTAAACTATATTCCCAAAAAAAATTTCTTTACTTATTTTAGCATTATTTTTTTTTATATTAAAAATGAAAATTTAGTAACCATTTACTTTAAATGTAGTTTTGTACGACTTTCGTACATTTCCCAACTGTATACCAATATTTATTAGCTTCTGGATTAGATTACTTTAAATGTAAAATTCAGAACTGAACTGAAGTTCCATTTAATATGAATGCAAAAACTCATCTATTTTTTCCTTTTAAGAAAAAGGCAAAGCAACGAAGGCAGACACCGGTGACATTCACTTAAATGTCAGACTCGTGTCTGTTGAATGGCATTCACTCATGTCAACCTTCCTTAGCTCTGCCTCTGCATCTAATAGTGTCTATTAGACGGATCGGTTTTTACCTGCATGCAGTGCATCTCCTGCCCTTTGCATGTTCTTCAGTTTTATTCTGCATTCAGCAAATGTTCTCAAAGTTTCCCCTGCATGAATATTCTCTTTTAAAGATTGAGCATACTTTCATACTGCATGTCAAAACCACCTTTTCCTTGACATCAGAGTTCTCAAGCTTTGAGAAGTACAATGGCTATCACATTCACGGATATCATAAAGAATACATCCATAATGACCTCAAACACACATCCACAGGCCAAATGCTTTTAATCACACTTATACAAATGTAAGACCTTAAAGAGATTTCAGACACATTTAAAAAAAAAAAAACCTTCTTGAAAAAAGACTTGCCTGTTCTTCACATCATCTTATACTACAAAAACACTTGTCAAACATAAAAATAAACAAAGAACAAAATTAGAAGGGAGCTCTTGGAGGTCACAGGTTAATTTAGGAAAGTCTGCATTAACATCAACAGTAATCGGTGTTTATGTTTCTAGCACTTTACATTAAAAAAAAGACGTTTTTTAAATTCCATCATACAGAACTGGATTGATTTGTAGTAGGGGCAAGTCTGGTGAAGCTGAAGGGGAATGATGGGATGAGTTAAGTTCATTTGTCATATCACATCGGGTAGTTGAGCACCACATCTTGTTTGGCCAGCTCCAACAACATAGGGTCATCGAAGAACTTGCTGATACTGACATCCTCACTCAAGCCCTGGAGGAAGAGAGAGAGAGATGATTATGATGATGATATATGATGCGTATTCAAACTAAAGTTGATTGACATTACAGCGACATCAAGCGTGTCTTACTTTGCGCCTGCGGGTTTTGATCATAAACTCTCTGGCCAGATGAGGGGCCGGTTGAGGCTCTAGAGGACGAATCACAATGCTCTTATCCAGAGGATCACCGGGAACAATCTAGAGTGAGGGGCAGAGACAATAATTACACAGGACAGTTGTGAAAATCTAATACCATGTGACAAACACACACACACACACACACACACACACACAGAAACAGTGTTACAGGCAACGGTGTTCAAGATCAGCTGCTGCTGACTCAATTTTCTGCTACTCAACATCAAACACATAACACAGGACAGTTGTGAAAATCTAATACCATGTGACAAACACACACACACACACACACACAGAAACAGTGTTACAGGCAACGGTGTTCAAGATCAGCTGCTGCTGACTCAATTTTCTGCTACTCAACATCAAACACATAAGAACTCCACACACACACACACACACACGGTTGAAGCTTACGCAAGTCACATTTTCCCCAATAAAGAAAACAAAGCCTATTTTTAATTACTACTACTTGCATTTTTACATCATCTTTGTGAAAATTCTCATTACCACATTTTTTCCAATACTCTTAAATTAAAAGTGATTCTCTTGGTTTAAAACACTGCAATAATTATTTTTTTTATTTGAAGCAGCATACATTAAAGTACAATAAACACTATTGTGTCTAAATACGTTCTATATTTTCTTCATCATATTCTCACTTTTTAAATTCACCAATTCAGGCATTAGTTTTTTTTAATTTTCTATTAAATTTGAATGTTAAATCTCATTTGGTTCTTACAGTAAAAATACTGTAATACATTTTTAAATAATCCATAAATGAATTTAATAATAACAACAATTATGTTAACAATTTACCAATTAATATAATTTAAATTTACTAGTTAAATTTAATAGTTTCATTAATTGCCTTAAAATGTCACGATAGAAAAAAATTCATAATGGCCCTAGAAATAGGCTTCAGTTTGTTTAACCAAATTTTCTATTATTTAATATAAACTAATAATCCCCAGGTCGCAAATTAATTTTGACAGAGAGAGGTTCACGTACACACAATACTCCTTACACTCATTTAAACACACAAACAAACAAACACACACACACGTAAGTAACAAGAAAAAAAATACGTGGGTGAGTTTGTACCTGCCAGTGGTGGAACACACTGAGCGCGAAGGCCTGGCCCTGCGTGTGTGTGCGGAGATCAGTTTCAAAGCCAAACGAGTCAATAGCGGGAATGAAAGCCTTGATGGCGTAGAGAGGAGAGCCAGGGATTGGCGCATCCTGCGTCACATGACCTCTACGAGACACAGAGACAAGAGATCAGTCAGAGGCTCGTTCTAAAAGGAGAAGGTCTTTATTAGAGACTTGCTGACTTTTGCTGCCTTGAGCAACAATCTGCTTAATGTGAGTGTGTTAACAGACGAGTCAGCAATGTCCTCATGTTTGTGTATTTTACCTCCTGCGTGCCAGCACTGTGTACACAGCAGAAACGCAGTCAGCAGGGGCCTGAACCTCCACAAAGTAATAGGGCTCCATCAGCCTGGGCGTGGCCTACAGAAATCAACCAATCAAAAATGGATCACGTTATTGAATGAAACAGTCCAATAAGACTAATGGAAACAATGATTAGGCAGAGAAAGGAAACCGAGGAAGATGGGGGAAGAAGAGAGGTGGTAACAGACCTATGGATAAGGATAAATTACCATCAGGAAGGCAGAGTAGACGACTCTGCGAGCTGTAGGGATGACCTGTCCTCCTCCTCTGTGCAGCGGCTCCTGTGCGATCACTGCGTCCAGGATCTTAAACTTCACGTTGCGGATTGCTGAATGCAGGGAATGACAAGGCGATATATTTGTTATTTAGTACAAACAGAAACACCAAACTGTAGCCATTTACAAAGAGGTCATTTAGATATGAAAAACTTAGAGACAGCAGCAAAAATAGCCTTTTTAATTGTGAGGGTGGAAAACGGCAATGGAAGAAAAAGAAGGGAAGAAAATGTAATGCTACAAAAGTGCAAGTAGACATCTAGACATCACAACAGTTTAATGTATGTTAGGAAAACGTATATTCAGATTACATTAACGGATAAAAAGATTACATTTAACAGTGCTATTAAATTATTCATGTTTTTAAACAGTAACTTTACATGAGTGTTCAATGATGGCCAAGGAAAACTAAATGTAAATATATACACAATATTAGCTAATATATATCAAATATCAGCCGACACCAATAAATAGAACATTTCTAATTTAATTCCTAATTAAAGTTTATTTACCCTAAGAACATTTTATTCATTCTATGGTGCTTTTTTAGACTCTTCTGCCTTCGTAACCACTGAAACCTCTCATAAAAATTGTTATGCAATGTCTTACGTTCATCACACAAAGGACCCTCACGTGTGCCCCACTGGAAGCCCTGTACAATGCTGTCCTTCACTGAGCCGAGAAGAGCTTTATCTACCTACAACACACACAGAGAACGAAAACAGTTATCGAGTTATTTAGCTGTCAACAAATTAAGTATGCCAGTGCACGACTGCGTCACACGCAACATGTCAATTTTTTTCACACCTCCGGTTGCCTGGCAAAACACACTCCAAACAATGACACACCAACACATCCATGCCAAAAGATTTTAACACACACATCTACATTCAAATGGCCAAAGGCACTATTTTCACATTTATTTATCAATATAATCAGAGGAGAGATGAAGTCAAACCTATTCTAAAATTCGCTACCCAATTACAAGTGAATTTTATTAGGAAAAAAAAGAATACAATACTTAAATGAATATAAATGAACCTGATATGTAAATTACCTCAGAGGGCAAAGTGTCATCTACTAAAATGTTGGGCCCGGTTGTGTCAGGTCCAAAAGCCCAAATTGAACGAGCTGCTAGCAAATCCCAGTCATACTTTGTCTGGAAAAACTCTCCCAACTTTTTTCTATATAGAGAAAAAGAGAGATGCATTTATTGGTTTTAAGATAGTTAACAGACTGTAGGTGAAAATGTAGATCTTGTCGGTTGAACTGCACCACATAGACTTCCGCTTAAAGGTTTGTGGGCGGTAAAATATTTTAATGTTTTTGAAAGAAGTCTCTTATGCTCACTAAGGCTGCATTTATTTGATCAATTGATTTGATTAATACAGTTAAAATAGTAATACTATGAAAAATGCTGGTGCTGATTTGGTGCTCAAGAAACATTTATTATCAGTGTTGAAAATGGTTATGCATCTTAATTTTTAATATTAAGACAGACATCTTTGTGTTCTATATAACCCATAAGTCCTCTACAGTTCTGACATGTTTTTACCTGTTCCATGTGATCTGCACCACCTCGTTCTCAATGTCTTCGGCTAGACCCTTCTCCAATGGCTCAGCAATCATGGTAATCTTATTCCTTCCAATCACACACACACACACACACACACACACACAAAGTAACAAAATCACACATACATATACAAACACTGATGCATGTCAAGACTTATCCTGTCAAGACTTTTACAGGTCACTTTAAAAAAAATCATCAGAACTGGGGTTCTAAATGGTGGTTGAGAGAGAGGAAGTTTGTTTCTTACTTTTTATTGGGCGTTTCAGCAAAACACTTCAGGGAGGACGTCTCTACCACAGTCTCACAGAAGGTCACCACTGGATCAGCCACCTATTGTAAGAGATCAAAGAGAAATCACATGAAAACAAAAAGCATAGGCAAAAAGGGAGGAAAGAAAATTCTATGACAGCAAAAGAGCACCTTGATATCGATCTCAGAGTACATCTTCCGCAGGTCGTGCATTACACAGTCCAGGTACAGCTCACCTGTACCAAGAATCACATGTTCACCTGACTCCTCCACCTGAACACACACAAGCCAGCACAGATCAATAAGAAACAAGTCAGTAATACATCTTAGTTACGAATCTTGAAACGCTAATAAAAAAATTGTTAAAGTAACCCTGCTGATCGCCACTGCAAGTATATGTGATATTCGGTTTGGTCCAGAGGCTTAAAACATGACATAAATATGGTTTAAAACAATATTGGTATCGTGGGTTGTTCTAGGAAATGTTACCTTTGTTGTAAGTGATGGATAACTCTTGTTGACTTTTCTGAGTCCATCCAACATCTTGGGCAGTTCTGAGGGATTGACCGGCTCCACAGCGATTTTTATCACTGATGCCGTGTTAAACTTCAATGGCCTGAAGATCTGAGCCTACTCACACCAATACAAAGAACTTTCAACTTCCAAAGTCTCATTAATTAACACGGCTTTGTTTCAAATAGATATCTCTCTCTTTCCTACCTCTTCATTTCCACGGGGCTCTGTGATTGTGGCCGTTTTAACAATAGGCTGGTCGCACCCTTCAATCAACACCCAGTTACCAGCAGGGACACGATTCACTTCAATCTGATACCTTGCATAAACACATTAAACATAACGTTTACAAAGACTACAGTGAGAAAAAAAAAATACTGATGTATGATTTACTTTGAAACAATTTTCACTCAAAAATAGTACATTTTTTACAAATCATTACCAAGAAACAACAAGTAATGCATTGAAATAAGTGTGCAATTTTTGAAGTAGAAAGACTGAAATAGTATTAATATTTTGTAAAATGTTCTCCAATAATCTTTTATTTTTATCTTTGGGCCTCAAGATGGCATAAAATGATTTAAAATAAAACAAAACAATCATTAAAATAATAACAGTCTTGAAAAACACTAATTTTTAAAGTGTGACTTCTAGAACCAAATTAATAAAATCATAACTGCATGGGCATTTTTATAATGAATTACTTTGTTGCTAGTTATGCAAAGCTCTAAATTTCTTATGGGGTATAAACTAAAAAAATATATATTTAAAAAATCCTTATCCTTAAATCCTGAACAACTAGAAAAGACATGGGGCCTTCAAATATTGGGGTGAAAAATGTGGGACCATGGACTAATAATGCTAGCAAAAACAAAAGATCAGAAACACATGTGACGTCACCTAGCAACAGAAATCCGTCACTCATGCTGCTACAACCATCTCACATATTTACATCACACACAAGCACACATTATTCATGCAGGGAATCAGCAATGTAGTCCGAACTGATTATTTATCATGATGTTACCCACAGACATATGTGTACAAACACCCCATCTCTGAATTAAAATTATGATTCCCTCTGACACACGAAAACTTCAGCCAGACTTTGATTAGATAAATGTCAGAAAATATAAGCAATTTCATTAAAGTTCAGAATTATATATTTTTTCATAGTTTATTTTAACTTTAATTTTTTTATATTTTTAAAAGCTTTTTCATTATTCTAATTTTTATTTTAGTATCATTATAGGGATAGTTTATTCAAAAATCCAAAGTTAGTAATCATTTGCTTACTCTCATGTTGTTTCATATTACTTTCTTCCATTTTTTTAAACTATATTCCCAAAAAAAATTTCTTTACTTATTTTAGCATTATTTTTTTTTATATTAAAAATGAAAATTTAGTAACCATTTACTTTAAATGTAGTTTTGTACGACTTTCGTACATTTCCCAACTGTATACCAATATTTATTAGCTTCTGGATTAGATTACTTTAAATGTAAAATTCAGAACTGAACTTCCATTTAATATGAATGCAAAAACTCATCTATTTTTTCCTTTTAAGAAAAAGGCAAAGCAACGAAGGCAGACACCGGTGACATTCACTTAAATGTCAGACTCGTGTCTGTTGAATGGCATTCACTCATGTCAACCTTCCTTAGTTCTGCCTCTGCATCTAATAGTGTCTATTAGACGGATCGGTTTTTACCTGCATGTATGCAGTGCATCTCCTGCCCTTTGCATGTTCTTCAGTTTTATTCTGCATTCAGCAAATGTTCTCAAAGTTTCCCCTGCATGAATATTCTCTTTTAAAGATTGAGCATACTTTCATACTGCATGTCAAAACCACCTTTTCCTTGACATCAGAGTTCTCAAGCTTTGAGAAGTACAATGGCTATCACATTCACGGATATCATAAAGAATACATCCATAATGACCTCAAACACACATCCACAGGCCAAATGCTTTTAATCACACTTATACAAATGTAAGACCTTAAAGAGATTTCAGACACATTTAAAAAAAAAAAAAACCTTCTTGAAAAAAGACTTGCCTGTTCTTCACATCATCTTATACTACAAAAACACTTGTCAAACATAAAAATAAACAAAGAACAAAATTAGAAGGGAGCTCTTGGAGGTCACAGGTTAATTTAGGAAAGTCTGCATTAACATCAACAGTAATCGGTGTTTATGTTTCTAGCACTTTACATTAAAAAAAAGACGTTTTTTAAATTCCATCATACAGAACTGGATTGATTTGTAGTAGGGGCAAGTCTGGTGAAGCTGAAGGGGAATGATGGGATGAGTTAAGTTCATTTGTCATATCACATCGGGTAGTTGAGCACCACATCTTGTTTGGCCAGCTCCAACAACATAGGGTCATCGAAGAACTTGCTGATACTGACATCCTCACTCAAGCCCTGGAGGAAGAGAGAGAGAGATGATTATGATGATGATATATGATGCGTATTCAAACTAAAGTTGATTGACATTACAGCGACATCAAGCGTGTCTTACTTTGCGCCTGCGGGTTTTGATCATAAACTCTCTGGCCAGATGAGGGGCCGGTTGAGGCTCTAGAGGACGAATCACAATGCTCTTATCCAGAGGATCACCGGGAACAATCTAGAGTGAGGGGCAGAGACAATAATTACACAGGACAGTTGTGAAAATCTAATACCATGTGACAAACACACACACACACACACACACAGAAACAGTGTTACAGGCAACGGTGTTCAAGATCAGCTGCTGCTGACTCAATTTTCTGCTACTCAACATCAAACACATAAGAACTCCACACACACACACACACACACGGTTGAAGCTTACGCAAGTCACATTTTCCCCAATAAAGAAAACAAAGCCTATTTTTAATTACTACTACTTGCATTTTTACATCATCTTTGTGAAAATTCTCATTACCACATTTTTTCCAATACTCTTAAATTAAAAGTGATTCTCTTGGTTTAAAACACTGCAATAATTATTTTTTTTATTTGAAGCAGCATACATTAAAGTACAATAAACACTATTGTGTCTAAATACGTTCTATATTTTCTTCATCATATTCTCACTTTTTAAATTCACCAATTCAGGCATTAGTTTTTTTTAAATTTTCTATTAAATTTGAATGTTAAATCTCATTTGGTTCTTACAGTAAAAATACTGTAATACATTTTTAAATAATCCATAAATGAATTTAATAATAACAACAATTATGTTAACAATTTACCAATTAATATAATTTAAATTTACTAGTTAAATTTAATAGTTTCATTAATTGCCTTAAAATGTCACGATAGAAAAAAATTCATAATGGCCCTAGAAATAGGCTTCAGTTTGTTTAACCAAATTTTCTATTATTTAATATAAACTAATAATCCCCAGGTCGCAAATTAATTTTGACAGAGAGAGGTTCACGTACACACAATACTCCTTACACTCATTTAAACACACAAACAAACAAACACACACACACGTAAGTAACAAGAAAAAAAATACGTGGGTGAGTTTGTACCTGCCAGTGGTGGAACACACTGAGCGCGAAGGCCTGGCCCTGCGTGTGTGTGCGGAGATCAGTTTCAAAGCCAAACGAGTCAATAGCGGGAATGAAAGCCTTGATGGCGTAGAGAGGAGAGCCAGGGATTGGCGCATCCTGCGTCACATGACCTCTACGAGACACAGAGACAAGAGATCAGTCAGAGGCTCGTTCTAAAAGGAGAAGGTCTTTATTAGAGACTTGCTGACTTTTGCTGCCTTGAGCAACAATCTGCTTAATGTGAGTGTGTTAACAGACGAGTCAGCAATGTCCTCATGTTTGTGTATTTTACCTCCTGCGTGCCAGCACTGTGTACACAGCAGAAACGCAGTCAGCAGGGGCCTGAACCTCCACAAAGTAATAGGGCTCCATCAGCCTGGGCGTGGCCTACAGAAATCAACCAATCAAAAATGGATCACGTTATTGAATGAAACAGTCCAATAAGACTAATGGAAACAATGATTAGGCAGAGAAAGGAAACCGAGGAAGATGGGGGAAGAAGAGAGGTGGTAACAGACCTATGGATAAGGATAAATTACCATCAGGAAGGCAGAGTAGACGACTCTGCGAGCTGTAGGGATGACCTGTCCTCCTCCTCTGTGCAGCGGCTCCTGTGCGATCACTGCGTCCAGGATCTTAAACTTCACGTTGCGGATTGCTGAATGCAGGGAATGACAAGGCGATATATTTGTTATTTAGTACAAACAGAAACACCAAACTGTAGCCATTTACAAAGAGGTCATTTAGATATGAAAAACTTAGAGACAGCAGCAAAAACAGCCTTTTTAATTGTGAGGGTGGAAAACGGCAATGGAAGAAAAAGAAGGGAAGAAAATGTAATGCTACAAAAGTGCAAGTAGACATCTAGACATCACAACAGTTTAATGTATGTTAGGAAAACGTATATTCAGATTACATTAACGGATACAAAGATTACATTTAACAGTGCTATTAAATTATTCATGTTTTTAAACAGTAACTTTACATGAGTGTTCAATGATGGCCAAGGAAAACTAAATGTAAATATATACACAATATTAGCTAATATATATCAAATATCAGCCGACACCAATAAATAGAACATTTCTAATTTAATTCCTAATTAAAGTTTATTTACCCTAAGAACATTTTATTCATTCTATGGTGCTTTTTTAGACTCTTCTGCCTTCGTAACCACTGAAACCTCTCATAAAAATTGTTATGCAATGTCTTACGTTCATCACACAAAGGACCCTCACGTGTGCCCCACTGGAAGCCCTGTACAATGCTGTCCTTCACTGAGCCGAGAAGAGCTTTATCTACCTACAACACACACAGAGAACGAAAACAGTTATCGAGTTATTTAGCTGTCAACAAATTAAGTATGCCAGTGCACGACTGCGTCACACGCAACATGTCAATTTTTTTCACACCTCCGGTTGCCTGGCAAAACACACTCCAAACAATGACACACCAACACATCCATGCCAAAAGATTTTAACACACACATCTACATTCAAATGGCCAAAGGCACTATTTTCACATTTATTTATCAATATAATCAGAGGAGAGATGAAGTCAAACCTATTCTAAAATTCGCTACCCAATTACAAGTGAATTTTATTAGGAAAAAAAAGAATACAATACTTAAATGAATATAAATGAACCTGATATGTAAATTACCTCAGAGGGCAAAGTGTCATCTACTAAAATGTTGGGCCCGGTTGTGTCAGGTCCAAAAGCCCAAATTGAACGAGCTGCTAGCAAATCCCAGTCATACTTTGTCTGGAAAAACTCTCCCAACTTTTTTCTATATAGAGAAAAAGAGAGATGCATTTATTGGTTTTAAGATAGTTAACAGACTGTAGGTGAAAATGTAGATCTTGTCGGTTGAACTGCACCACATAGACTTCCGCTTAAAGGTTTGTGGGCGGTAAAATATTTTAATGTTTTTGAAAGAAGTCTCTTATGCTCACTAAGGCTGCATTTATTTGATCAATTGATTTGATTAATACAGTTAAAATAGTAATACTATGAAAAATGCTGGTGCTGATTTGGTGCTCAAGAAACATTTATTATCAGTGTTGAAAATGGTTATGCATCTTAATTTTTAATATTAAGACAGACATCTTTGTGTTCTATATAACCCATAAGTCCTCTACAGTTCTGACATGTTTTTACCTGTTCCATGTGATCTGCACCACCTCGTTCTCAATGTCTTCGGCTAGACCCTTCTCCAATGGCTCAGCAATCATGGTAATCTTATTCCTTCCAATCACACACACACACACACACACACACACACACACACACAAAGTAACAAAATCACACATACATATACAAACACTGATGCATGTCAAGACTTATCCTGTCAAGACTTTTACA